AAACGCCCCCAGAGCCCCCAGCGAAACCCCCCCCCCCCCAGAACCAGGGATGGGAAAGTCCCATCAGACCATGGCCATGCCTGGCACCACAGGGTATCCTGTGCTCTGCCCAGTCTGGTCTCTGACACCATCCATCCTCTCCCCTGAGACAGCTCCACAGCCTAGCCCGGCTCACAGACAAGCAGCTTTTTCTGACAGTCCAAACATTTCCCTTTTCTTACGGGCGTAAGATCGAACACCAACGTACCTGTGCCGATAATCTCCTGCCCAGCAAGCACAACGTTCTTCCAAACAGCAGATGGAAACACCTTGGGTTTTTTTTAACCCCTTCACCTCTGATTTGTTTTGCATTTGTGGGTCTGAAGAGCAATGCTTTACTGACACGCCACGCTCTAGGGCTAGAGGGAGAAAGGGCCGGGAAAACTTGACTGCTGCAATCTTATTGTTTCTCACATGCCTCAACCAGACAAACATTTCTGAACATGAGAAAAAAAATCCAGGAGTTGCCAAACTATCTCTAGAACATCTCCCTTTGGCCTAAGATGCAAGGCAAGCAAAAAAAGAGAAGGAGTCCTTTCTCCTTTCACCTTCCTCCTCGCCTCTCCCACATCCCCCTGCTATGTGTTGCCACTCACAAGCTGCTACAGCTCCCCCGGTACCTGTCATTGCTGCTCTCGAGGGCTGGGTTCACACTGCAAGCTGGTGGACAGGTCCCAAAGTTCAGTCCAGCCTAGCCAGGGTGGGGGTGTCTCTCTCGCTCTCCCCGCAGTCTCGCTGGCAAGTCCCGAGAAAGCCACCGACGCACAATCCGTCAGGAGGAGATCCCAGCTTGGAAGAGTGAGCCGCAGAAGAAGAGCTAGAAACGGTTGAATTAAGTTACTTTGTGCGTCGGCTGCCTCGTTCTTTCCCAAGTCACGCAGACAGCCCCAGACGCGCAGTTTCCTTTTTAAACAGGAGCGATGAGTAATAAGCCCTGCCCAAAGCACAGCCAAGAGAACAGTGACTTTCAGCTGGATCGCAGCGGAGAGCCAGCTGTGGGGTGGCGAAGCCTACAGCTTTCCTTCAGGCACTTTGAACCTCCTGGAGGACAGCCGTCTGGAAGGATAAAATCGTCATTTGTCCTGATCAACAGGTGACTGGCACGCAGAGGGAGCTGAGACTCGAAGGAGAGGGAGGAAGGGGCCTAGATCTCTCCTTTGTCAGACAGGTTCCTCCCTGGTCTAGCGGCTCCTTCCTTCCTTCCCCCCTCTTTCTCACAGTTGTTTCCATGGACACCAGTAGCTGCCACAGAAACCGCAGCAGGGACTTCAGACATCAAAAAATCCACCCCTCCCGTCTGTCTATTGCTCTCTCCTTCCTGCCAAAAAGAGAGGAGCTTCCCACTGAATTCTGAAAGAGTTTTTCCAGTAGACTTTTGCAGGAGCAAGACTGCCCCCCGTAATCTATCTAGCAAAAACAAGGAAGAGGGATGCCCCCATATACACACACACAGACACACATGCTGATGAGAAACAGGAACAGGAAACCTCACATTTCTTGGAGGGGAAGTGGGGGTGGACACATATGACCCATAACTGAGCTGAGCAGTATTGTCAGGTGGGGCCCGGGAAGGAAAGCAACAGAGCTTCCAATTGGTGGAGAGATTCTTTTGTGATTGACCACAGTGTGATACCATCGAGGGTTTCTCACCTCTCATGACATTGCCCAGTGCTGGCTTTTGGAACAGTGGAGATAGACTCAGACTTTAAGCCAGAAGGGACCATTTTGTGCCCAATCTAACCTACTTATCATAGTCCAACGACCTTCATCCGTCCACCATTATTCCCTCTAAGCTGAGCACTTGGGCAGCTGCCCAGAACAAATTAAAATGCCACCCAGCTGATTAGCAGAGAGCACACAGCTGGCAGCAAGCTGGTAAGTATTGTTGTTAATGGATTAGGGCCCCCTTTCAGTAAGGATTGACGTCACTGTGTTTGAATGTTAGTCCTGTGCCTAAGTACCTTGGGGTATGTCTACACTACCCCCCTAGTTCGAACTAGGGGGGTTAATGTAGTCATACGGAGTTGCAAATGAAGCCCGGGATTTGAATTTCCCGGGCTTCATTTGCATGATCCCGGCCGGCGCCATTTTTAAATGCCGGCAGTTCGAACCCCGTGCCGCGCGGCTACACGCGGCACGGAGTAGCTAGTTCGGATTAGTCTTCCTAATCCAAACTAGCTGTACTCCTCATTCCACGAGGAAACACAAGTCAGCCAACTCAGCCCCTCAGTCATTCGAGGCAAAGAAATCAAATTCTATACCACCTACTGCAGGAAGGTCTTTTTGAACGACAACTTTGAAACCATTTATTAGTTCCCTAAATAGAAGAACTAGAGGACACCAAATGAAATTAATGGGTATCAGGTTTAAAACTAATAAAATAAAGTTCTTCTTCACACAGCGTGTAGTCAACCTGTGGAACTCCTTGCCAGAGGAGGCTGTGAAGGATAGGACTATAATAGAGTTTAAAGAGAAGCTAGATAATTTCATGAAGGTTAGGTCCATAAAAGGCTATTAGCCAGGGGATAAAATGGTGTCCTTGGCCTCTGTTTGTCAGAGGCTGGAGAGGGATGGCAGGAGACAAATTGCTTGATCATTGTCTTCAGTCCACCCTCTCTGGGGCACCTGGTGCTGGCCACTGTCGGCAGGACAGGATACTGGGCTAGATGGACCTTTGGTCTGACCCAGTACGGCCGTTCTTATGTTCTTATGTTCTTAAGGCTCTGCATGGCCATTAACGATTCTACCCAGCTTTCCGCAGGAGCAACATTTGCTCAGTGTCTGAACCTTACACTCTCCTCTCCCAAGTGTGTTCTGTGCCTGGCTATTATGCTGCACGGCAGAGGTAACTGCACTTCACTAGTGCCCTGTGTGCACAGAGACAGGAAAAGAAATCTGATATGTGGCGTAGGGGGTTAATTTCAAGACTATCTGGGACTTCTCCAAGAGTGAGTTCTGGTCTCGCTCGGCTAGAGGCAGTTAAATCTTTACCAGTGCAAAGGAAGAACTGTATCCTGCTTCTCCTCTGATGTGCTTCAGGCGCTAGCAGGTTGCCCTGGAACAGGGTCCTGGTTTTTAAATGTATTTACCGTTTAGAAGTTGCCCTCAATTATTACTGCACCCGTTTTAAGGCACTCGCCCCTTGAAACAGAACAAAAAGTTTTCCGTGATTTACAGCTGCAGGCCACAATAATGACATTGACGAGAAGATGTGTCTTCAGTAACCAGTAAACAGCTGAAGGGCATGTGATTTGTAAGCCTGCACATACTGGACTAGATGCTTAGCTGGGGCATCCATGTTGCTTAACCAAAGAGAATGAAGTTACACCGATTCACATCAGCCGTCGCGCTGACTCCACCCTCTGTCAATGATTCAGTATCAAAAGGATGGGCGAAGAGGGACTGCAGTCATTTTAGAGATGATATCTGGTTTCTAGTCATTGTTTTGGTCCACCCTGCTCGCCTTGAGTCTCACTTTAATTGCAAAATGCAATCCAGCAGAAACAGGCCTCAATGGGGCCCATGCATAGTTGTCAAGTGTCCATCAGGGATGAGTTGGAGGTCACCTCTTTGCTCTTTCTCCTTGTGTCCCAGTACAGGACGGTGCTTGCCAGAACTTGCTTGAAGGATTTCAGAAGGTCCATTGAAAACTCCCAGTTTAACAGCAGCAGGTTTTTTAAATGAAATGAAGCAGAGCTCACACAAATCATTGTACCTGCATATTTACTCTGCATGCACAAAAAGGCTCACATGGTCCAAGATGAAAATCTGCCATTCGGAAAGCAGAACACAATTATCTAATCCGTAGTCTTACAGCTCATTAGGCTGGCCAAACAGTTACATCTGCCCATGGAAAGGAATACCTTCTTCCCAATGTGTTTGCCTTCTCGGCCCGTAGCCTATTATAAATATTGACCAAGCCAATCGGAACATACTGTGGGCAGACGTGTAGGTCTCACTATTGGACAAAACACTGAATTCAACTTTCTTGACTTTTGTCACTGTCTTTCCACGAGTAGGTTGCAATGAACAGCTCCTTCGCATGCATAGATTTGGGGTAGGAATCAACATCTTCTATTGTCAGTGTCAGAAGGAAAGGAACGAATTTGGGAAGATATTCCATGAGCTATGGCTCAGTCTCCTCTTTTCCGGATTACCCTTTGTGATCTTAGTGCCTCTGTCAATTTCCTCGTTGGGTAAGATGTGTGCTGTGTTTTCGGGAAAGGCCTTTGTGGTCGGTGCAAATTTCAACACACCAGGAGTGAAAGTAACTTACATTTCTTACAAGTACTGTCTTGTCACAACCCACCCTCCCTTGAGGGGGGGAGGCTTACATTGGGAGGGGGGTTGTCAATATAACAGTACTGTTAGAAATGTAAGTGTGGGGTGGAGTGCAGGGGGCTCAGGCAGAGGTTTGGGGGATTTAGTGGTGAGTGCAGGGGAGGCAAGGGTGCCATTTCAGGGGCTGGTGGAGGCTGTAGCCGCACTTACCTGGTCTGTGTGTGTTTTTTCTTGTTTGCTGTGACTAGGGAGCAAGGGGAAAGTGCACAGTGTGCTGCATCCCTCTTGATTCCAGCTGCCCAGGAGAGGGGCAGAGGAGGAATGCAGCAGGCTTTGCACTTTCCCCTTGCTCCCTAGCCACAGGAAGCAGGTATGGACAGCTGCAGCCTCACATCTTTGAAATGGGGGGAGGGGACTCGGGACTGGGGCAGTCTTGGGGTTGGCACCCCAGCCAGCCCTCAACCTGCCTGACTGCCTGCTGCTAGGCATAGCAGCCTGTAGGAAGCCAGGAGCCGGGCTGGGAGTACCCCAGCTGGCCAGCTTCTTGTGGAAGCACTTTCATCTCATAGTAGCTGGATGCAAATGCAGAGACATACTCTGTACTACTGCGTGTCATGAAGCAACCACTCTCCTTTCTTCAATCAGCCAGGAGGCTACCGGTGGTTTCTCACCACGTTGGAGACTTCACCTCCCCGTTACTTGTGTGGCTGTATCTCCAGTGAGGATGGCTAACTTTACAGCCCAAGGAGCAAGTTGCACCTGTCCTCTTTTTTAGATTTCTCATTTTCCAAAGACTCAGCCATCATCTATTTCTTCCTAGGATATGGCCTCTCCTCCTTAATTCTGGCCCAGAACAGAAGGAAAGGAAAAAGGCTATGGGCACTTCAGACAGAGTGGAGGTTTAACAGACTAAGGCAGTGAGAAACATGCAGTTTTGAGACAGCTCCACGTAAGAGCCCCTGTACTGGTATTTGCTCACTAAAGGCAAAAGTTACCCTGCAAGGGTGTGTCTAGACTACATGCCTCCGTCGACGGAGGCATGTAGATTAGCCAGATCGGCAGAGGGAAATGAAGCCGCGATTATTTTAATCGCGGCTTTATTTCCCTCTGCCGATCTGGCTAATCTACATGCCTCCGTCGACGGAGGCATGTAGATTAGCCAGATCGGCAGAGGGAAATGAAGCCGCGATTATTTTAATCGCGGCTTTATTTCCCTCTGCCGATCTGGCTAATCTACATGCCTCCGTCGACGGAGGCATGTAGATTAGCCAGATCGGCAGAGGGAAATGAAGCCGCGATTATTTTAATCGCGGCTTTATTTCCCTCTGCCGATCTGGCTAATCTACATGCCTCCGTCGACGGAGGCATGTAGATTAGCCAGATCGGCAGAGGGAAATGAAGCCGCGATTATTTTAATCGCGGCTTTATTTCCCTCTGCCGATCTGGCTAATCTACATGCCTCCGTCGACGGAGGCATGTAGTTTAGACGTACCCCAAAGGATCAGCACAGGAGCACTGAAATTCCTCTTCAACTAGGTCTCATATGTGTCTAGCCTCTGGTGCTGGCCCACAACAGCAAGGCAAGAGCTAGAAAAGGTGGCTTTGTAGAGATGACCCTGAAGAGCAGCAGCATCTCTTGTGAATCTAGGGGACAGGTTATATTTTAAGTGCCTGAGAGGAGGAAAGGGAAGTGGTCAAGTGCTCCCACAGACTGCCCGAGGTCTAAGAGTCATCTGGGCTTTAGAGAGACTGCAGGAAGTGGCTTCCTGTTTCTAAGGCCTTGACTATGTTGGACTGTAGCCATCTATGTGGCTGAAGTGATGTT